ATTATTATTATTATTATTATTATTATTATTATTATTATTATTATAACATTCACCACATTAAAGTCTCTTCTTCATGTAGACTCCATTCAGACCGTAGGTCCACTGCAGAATCACCAAGTGCACACTATCTGTTGACCTCAGTCCTTCGGCACATTAGTAAAGAGAGAAGGTGCTTTCTCAAGCATCCAGGTCCCAATCGGCTTAGGGCTTTATACATTAGCAGCATGCATTTGAAACACTGCAAGAGGAGAGCTTTGTGAATAACCTGGACCAATAGAAAGATGAATACGTGGTTTAAATCAAACCAGAAATTTCCCTGGAAGCAAAAATAACAAAACCGAAGCTGTCTTTCCTTGGGCATATCATGGGAAGGCAAGATTAACTGGAGAAGAAAAGCGCTAGGGAAAATCAAAGGTATAAGAAGGGGAAGGCCAAATATGAGATGAATTGGTTCCTTTAGGTAAGCCACAAACTTGAGTTTTCAAGAGCTGAACAGGGCTGTCAAGGACAGGACATTCTGGAGGGCAGTCACTGATGGTGTGTAAAAGCAACAACACTACTACCAAAACCTTGTATGTAGTCCAATAGCGAAGAGGCAACCCATGCAATTCTGTAAAAGAGTTGTATGCTGAAAGGGGGAAGCTCTTAACAACTGCAGAGCTGCTGGATTCTGCACTTGCCTTGCTGTAGCTTCTAGATCAGGTAAGGAATGGCCCCACATAGAGTACATAGCAGAGGTTAGAAGTACTTGAACCTGTGAGGCCAAGCTATTGTTATCCAGAAGAGGTGGCAGCTGGTGAACCAGGAGATGCTGGAGAAAGGTATTCCTGCCTTCTATGGTTACTTGTGATGGACCCAAGAGTACCCGCGGATGACAAGCCTGATCTTTCCAAGGGGTGCAACCTGTCCAAAACAGGCAATGAGTCTTCTTCTCAGACTGGGAAACTGCCCACCCCCTGGGCCTCTGTCTTGCCAGGATTCAGTTTCAATTAATTGTCCTTCTTGCAATCTAGGATGAGTCTAGGCACTGATCCAGCTCTTGTACAGTGTCACCTGATTCAGATGTCACAAGGAGACAGATCAGTGTGTTTTTCACATATTAATTGCACTTGGCCCAAAGTCCCTGCAGTATCATAGAGATGTTAAACATCATTGGAAAGAGAGTACCTGTAGAGCCCTAGTCTGAGGAACTGGCAGGCAGTGTTATTCTCAGAAATCAACCTAGCAGTTAAGACTGGAACCAGAGTGCCTGCAATGCCCATCCCACAGAGTCAATCCATGGTGGATGGCATTGAATGCTGATGAGAGACTGAGCAGAATTAAGAAGGTTGAACTGCCCCTGACACTCTCCCAATAGAAGTTGTCCATTAGAGTGACCAAGGCTGATTCAGTTCATATCCAGGTTGAAATCCAGACTGGAATGCATCTAATTAATTGGTGGTGGTCTGGGAATATGGATCTGCAATCACATTTTTTAAAAGCGTCTTGCATGATGTTATGCTATGGGTAAAAGGGAAGCCTTCTTTCTAGTACACTATTTTAGTTTTCTACTCCTGTTCTGGTGGAACAATAGAGTAAGACCTATGCTGGCAGTCAGCAAAATGTTCAGCCTAAAACACAACAAGCTCAAGCTGCCTTGTGCCAAGTCAGATGATCTGGTTCAGTTTTGGTCACTCTAGCTCTGAGGTATTCACACAGGAGTTTTCCTCCACTCTACCCAGAGCTGCTGTGGTCAGACCTGGGCATCCTGGAGGCAATGCATACGCTGTGTTATGGAGCTATGTAGCTTGATCCCAATTTGCCTGGGGCAACAAAAACAAAACAACCCTACTGTGCATGCATAGGTGTTTTGTATTCTTAGAGGATGAAGGTGCAAGATGATAAACACACATAGATACCTGCCCAGCAGTCAGGGCCAAGCACAGCTCTTCACTGTGTGCATATGTCTCTCCTTCTGTCTTCAGAGATGCACATCTCACCTTCAGAGTTCATGTTCAGCAAGGTACACTAATGCATACCAGGCAGATTGGCCCTTGAAGTGACACCCCCTAATGAATGGCAAAAATCAAACTTGGCTGGAGAGTGGAGGGTACATCTGCCATAGCTGCTCAACAGGACAGCCAAGTCCCAGCACATGATGAGAGTTGCTGTCCAACTGGCTGGGGAACGGCTGCAATAGAGGGTGAAACTAAATGACAAGAGGCATGCCAAGCCTTTCAGAGCTACACTGCAGAAAGTAGGAACAGCAACCACATGATCTGCTCATGATGCAAGTACAGCTCAGGAGATGCTAAACTTAAGGAACTGCACTGATGAGCCATTGATTTAAGTGGAAAGGGGAGGAAGGAAAGAGGAGGAGAATTTAGAATCATAGAAAAGAATTCACCAACTGGTCCAATCTGCAAAAGGAATGACAGTCAAATTAGTTTCAATCTCCAGTTTATTCATTATGCCCCTTTAGCTTTGTTAGTTACTGGTGGAAACTTCCCAGTTTAGCTGTAAATCATCTTTCCCTCTTTTTGCAGCACAGTTTTGGCTTATGCCTTTAAAAGCTTATTTCATTCCATTTATTTCAGTTCTTTAAAAGCTTACTGAGTTACATTCAGAGGTAATTCCATATGTGCCCACTTCTAATGGATGCTCGCTCCTCTGTCACTCATGTTAGCATGCACTCTCACACAGCTTCCCTAACAATGTTGTTTGCCTTTTAGAGCTAATTTCACCTTGATCAGCTATGCCCAGCATTTCATTCCCATCTTTCCTGGTGGCTTCCCTGGCCCTTAAAGTGAAAATGCCAACAATGGCTCTTGATGGAATAAGGCTAATGATGCTGAGAGTGTATTCTTTAATTGTGTACCAAAGCAGCACTGGACGCCATGGAACATAAAGGAAAATTCAAAAGGCATGCATATTCAAAGTCGACATGAAAGTAACAAAGGCATAAAACAGTGAGGAACCAGCCAGAATCTAAAATAGGCCAGTGTGTTTTATTTGAGAAATAAATAGTTAAATAATGTAACTCCGAACCTTTGAGCACCCTTGAGACTTGCATCAGCAGCAGCTCCACCCCCAGTGTGCAAATGTCCAAGGTACTGTTTGCACTGGAGCCTGTGCATTTATATCCAAACGTGTAGCTGTCCTTCATACAATCCCCGCAAGAATGCCGGGCACAAGTCACCCTTCTGAAGCCAACATCCCCAGGTTCTGGTGCAGGTAGCTCTTTGAATATGAAGAGGCTAAAGCCAGCAGAAGGCACAATCCAGATTCTTCTCCCTCCCTACTTACTAATTTATACGCTTGGTGACCATATTCTGCACTAGACTTCCGTCCCAGGGAATGCAGGAAAAATATGTGGGGTTGCATAAGTGGTACTGGAGTAATAAGAGGGCATTTGAAACAACCTAACCAGATTGATTGATTGCATTTTTATACTGCCCAGTAGCCTGAAGGTTCTCTTTAGGCCAAAAAATGCCTTTAATACCCCCTCTATGGACATACATACACTGAAAATCAGTTCTGTGAGATGCAGACATGATGGTCTATACAGTTCCCAGATGCTATATAGGAGACCTTGCTTTGCTAAGACAGAGCTGCAGAAGGGGTATACCCCTGAAGTTCTTCCTGGTAGTATTTAGGAATACAGCCTGCACTGCATTCCTTCATTGGAAGTTTTCCTGCACCAGTGAGCAGAGGCCCAACAACACAGAGCTGAAGTTGAGGGA